GGTGGGGGTGTGGCTCTGGGTGTGGGTGGGGGGGGGGGGGGAGGTGTGGGGAGGGTGGTGGGTGGGAGGGTGGAGGGTGGGAGGGTGGTGGGTGGAGGGTGGAGGGGAGGGTGCAGGGGAGGGTGGATGGAGGGTGGATGGATGGAGGGGTGGATGGAGGGGAGGGTGGAGGGGAGGGTGGAGGGTGGAGGGGAGGGTGGATGGAGGGGAGGGTGGATGGAGGGGTGGATGGGAGGGTGGATGGTGGAGGGGAGGGTGGAGGGGAGGGTGGAGGGGAGGGTGGATGGTGGAGGGGAGGGTGGATGGAGGGGAGGGTGGAGGGTGGAGGGGAGGGTGGATGGAGGGGAGGGTGGAGGGTGAAGGGTGGAGGGGAGGGTGGATGGAGGGGAGGGTGGATGGATGAAGGGGAGGGTGGAGGGAAGGGTGGATGGATGGAGGGGAGGGTGAAGGGTGGAGGGAAGGGTGGATGGAGGGGAGGGTGGAGGGAAGGGTGGATGGAGGGTGGATGGAGGGTGGAGGGTGAAGGGTGGAAACGCCTCGCTCTCACAAACTCGCGCTCGCGAGCAAAGCTCCAAAGCTGTCCACCCAACCCCCTCTCCCACCCTCAAGGGCTGTCAAAGCGAGCAGCAGTAGCAGCAGCAGCAGCACCGTACGAAGTCCGGCACGGCACAACAATATTTACTGCACGCCGCTGGCGCCGGGAGCTCGGTTGAGGCCGAGCCGATCGAGGAAAGGGCCTCAACCGGTTGAGACGATCGCCATCGCCGATGTTGGCGAATCCAAATCCCGGCCGGTGGCTTCGGAGCGCAGCGAAGCAGCCGCTACATCACTCACTCACCATCACTCACTCACTCACCATCACTCACTCACCATCACTCACTCACCATCACTCACCATCACTCACCACTCACTCACCACTCACTCACCATCACTCACTCACCATCACTCACCATCACTCACTCACCACTCACTCACCATCACTCACCATCACTCACTCACCATCACTCACCATCACTCACTCACCATCACTCACTCACCATCACTCACCATCACTCACTCACCATCACTCACCATCACTCACTCACCATCACTCACCATCACTCACCACTCACCACTCACTCACCATCACTCACCATCACTCACTCACCATCACTCACTCACCATCACTCACTCACCACTCACTCATCACTCACTCACCATCACTCACCACTCACTCACCATCACTCACCACTCACTCACCATCACTCACCATCACTCACCACTCACTCACCATCACTCACCATCACTCACCATCACTCACCACTCACTCACCATCACTCACCATCACTCACCACTCACTCACCACTCACCATCACTCACTCACTCACCATCACTCACTCACCATCACTCACCACTCACTCACCATCACTCACTCACCATCACTCACCACTCACTCACCATCACTCACCATCACTCACTCACTCACCATCACTCACTCACCATCACTCACCACTCACTCACTCACCATCACTCACCACTCACTCACCACTCACTCACCACTCACTCACTCACTCACCACTCACTCACCATCACTCACCATCACTCACCATCACTCACTCACCACTCACTCACCATCACTCACCACTCACCACTCACTCACCACTCACCATCACTCACTCACCACTCACTCACCATCACTCACTCACCATCACTCACTCACCACTCACTCACCACTCACTCACCACTCACTCACCACTCACTCACCACTCACTCACTCACCATCACTCACCACTCACCACTCACTCACCACTCACTCACCACTCACTCACTCACCATCACTCACTCACCACTCACTCACCACTCACTCACCACTCACTCACTCACCATCACTCACCACTCACCACTCACTCACCACTCACCATCACTCACTCACCATCACTCACCACTCACTCACCATCACTCACCATCACTCACCACTCACCACTCACTCACTCACCACTCACCATCACTCACCATCACTCACTCACCACTCACTCACCATCACTCACTCACCACTCACTCACTCACCACTCACTCACTCACCACCACTCACTCACCACTCACTCACCATCACTCACCACTCACTCACCATCACTCACTCACCACTCACTCACTCACCACTCACTCACTCACCATCACTCACCATCACTCACTCACCACTCACTCACCATCACTCACTCACCACTCACTCACCACTCACCATCACTCACTCACCACTCACTCACTCACCACTCACTCACTCACCATCACTCACTCACCACTCACTCACTCACCACTCACTCACTCACCATCACTCACTCACCATCACTCACTCACCATCACTCACTCACCATCACTCACTCACCATCACTCACTCACCATCACTCACTCACCATCACTCACTCACCATCACTCACTCACCATCACTCACTCACCATCACTCACTCACCATCACTCACTCACCATCACTCACTCACCATCACTCACTCACCATCACTCACTCACCATCACTCACCACTCACCATCACTCACCATCACTCACCATCACTCACCATCACTCACTCACTCACCATCACTCACCATCACTCACCATCACTCACCATCACTCACTCACTCACCATCACTCACCACTCACTCACTCACCACTCACCATCACTCACCACTCACTCACCATCACTCACTCACCATCACTCACTCACCATCACTCACCATCACTCACTCACCCACCACTCACCATCACTCACCACTCACTCACCACTCACTCACCATCACTCACTCACCATCACTCACTCACTCACTCACCATCACTCACTCACCACTCACTCACCATCACTCACTCACCACTCACTCACCATCACTCACCACTCACCATCACTCACTCACCACTCACTCACCACTCACCATCACTCACTCACCATCACTCACCACTCACTCACCACTCACCATCACTCACTCACCATCACTCACCACTCACTCACTCACTCACCATCACTCACTCACCATCACTCACTCACCATCACTCACTCACCACTCACTCACCATCACTCACTCACCATCACTCACTCACTCACCATCACTCACTCACCACTCACTCACCATCACTCACTCACCACTCACTCACCATCACTCACCACTCACCATCACTCACTCACCACTCACTCACCACTCACCATCACTCACTCACCATCACTCACCACTCACTCACCACTCACCATCACTCACTCACCATCACTCACCACTCACTCACTCACTCACCATCACTCACTCACCATCACTCACTCACCATCACTCACTCACCATCACTCACTCACCACTCACTCACCACTCACTCACTCACCATCACTCACCATCACTCACTCACCACTCACTCACCACTCACTCACCATCACTCACTCACCATCACTCACTCACCATCACTCACTCACCATCACTCACTCACCATCACTCACCACTCACTCACCATCACTCACCACTCACTCACTCACCATCACTCACCCTCACCACTCACTCACTCACCATCACTCACTCACCATCACTCACCACTCTCACCATCACTCACCACTCACTCACCACTCACTCACTCACCATCACTCACCACTCACTCACCACTCACTCACTCACCATCACTCACTCACCATCACTCACCACTCACTCACTCACCATCACTCACCACTCACTCACCATCACTCACTCACCACTCACTCACCACTCACTCACTCACCACTCACTCACCATCACTCACCACTCACCACTCACTCACCACTCACTCACTCACCATCACTCACCATCACTCACTCACCATCACTCACTCACCACTCACCATCACTCACTCACCACTCACTCACCATCACTCACTCACCACTCACCCTCCACTCACTCACCACTCACTCACCATCACTCACTCACCACTCACTCACTCACCACTCACTCACCATTCACTCACTCACCATCACTCACTCACCATCACTCACTCACCATCACTCACTCACCACTCACTCACTCACCACTCACTCACTCACCACTCACTCACTCACTCGCCACTCACTCACTCACCACTCACTCACCACTCACTCACTCACCATCACTCACCACTCACTCACCACTCACTCACCACTCACTCACCACTCACTCACCACTCACTCACTCACCACTCACTCACCACTCACTCACTCACCATCACTCACTCACCATCACTCACCACTCACTCACTCACTCATCACTCACCACTCACTCACTCACCACTCACTCACTCACCACTCACTCACCACTCACTCACTCACCATCACTCACCACTCACTCACTCACCACTCACTCACCACTCACTCACTCACCATCACTCACCACTCACTCACTCACCATCACTCACTCACCATCACTCACTCACCATCACTCACCACTCACTCACTCACTCACCACTCACTCACTCACTCACCACTCACCACTCACTCACTCACCACTCACTCACCACTCACTCACCACTCACTCACTCACTCACCATCACTCACCACTCACTCACTCACCACTCACTCACCACTCACTCACTCACCACTCACTCACCATCACTCACTCACTCACCACTCACTCACCATCACTCACTCACCATCACTCACTCATCACTCACTCACCACTCACTCACTCACCACTCACTCACTCATCACTCACTCACCATCACTCACTCACCACTCACTCACCACTCACTCACTCACCATCACTCACTCACTCACCATCACTCACTCACCATCACTCACTCACCATCACTCACTCACCATCACTCACTCACCATCACTCACTCACCATCACTCACTCACCATCACTCACCACTCACTCACTCACCACTCACCACTCACTCACCATCACTCACTCACCACTCACTCACCATCACTCACTCACCATCACTCACCACTCACTCACTCACCATCACTCACTCACCGCTCACTCACTCACCACTCACTCACTTACCACTCACTCACTCACCATCACTCACCACTCACTCACCATCACTCACTCACCACTCACTCACTCACCATCACTCACCACTCACTCACCATCACTCACTCACCACTCACCCTCACCACTCACTCACCACTCACTCACCCTCACTCTCCAGTGTGGACACTCACCAGGGTGTGTGAAACGAGGGGGGCGTTGATCAGAGTGCAGATCCCTCGGGGGCTGTCAACCACCATCGCCTCCTGGATCAACCACACAGTCAGTCAACCACACAGTCAGTCAACCGCACAGTCAGTCAACCACACAGTCAGTCAACCACACAGTCAGTCAACCACACAGTCAGTCAACCACACAGTCAGTCAACCGCACAGTCAGTCAACCACACAGTCAGTCAACCGCACAGTCAGTCAACCGCACAGTCAGTCAACCACACAGTCAGTCAACCGCACAGTCAGTCAACCGCACAGTCAGTCAACCACACAGTCAGTGACCCACACAGTCAGTCAACCACACAGTCAGTCAACTACACAGTCAGTCAACCACACAGTCAGTCAACCACACAGTCAGTCAACCACAGTCAGTGACCCACACAGTCAGTCAACCACACAGTCAGTCAACCACACAGTCAGTCAACCACACAGTCAGTCAACCGCACAGTCAGTCAACCGCACAGTGACCCACACAGCCAGTGGACCGCACAGTCAGCCAACCGCACAGTCAGTGACCCACACAGTCAGTCAACCGCACAGTCAGTCAACCACACAGTCAGTCAACCACACAGTCAGTCAACCACACAGTCAGTCAACCACACAGTCAGTCAACCACACAGTCAGTCAACCACACAGTCAGTCAACCACACAGCCAGTCAACCACACAGCCAGTCAACCGCACAGTCAGTCAACCACACAGTCAGTCAACCACACAGTCAGTCAACCACACAGTCAGTCAACCACACAGTCAACCGCACAGCCAGTGACCCACACAGTCAGTCAACCACACAGTCAACCGCACAGCCAGTGACCCACACAGTCAGTCAACCACACAGTCAGTCAACCACACAGTCAGTCAACCACACAGTCAGTCAACCACACAGTCAGTCAACCGCACAGTCAACCACACAGTCAGTGAACCACACAGTCAGTGAACCACACAGCCAGTCAACCACACAGCCAGTCAACCACACAGTCAGTCAACCACACAGTCAGTCAACCGCACAGTCAGTCAACCACACAGTCAGTCAACCACACAGTCAGTCAACCACACAGTCAGTCAACCGCACAGTCAGTCAACCACACAGTCAGTCAACCGCACAGTCAGTCAACCGCACAGTCAGTCAACCACACAGTCAGTCAACCGCACAGTCAGTCAACCGCACAGTCAGTGACCCACACAGTCAGTCAACCACACAGTCAGTCAACTACACAGTCAGTCAACCACACAGTCAGTCAACCACACAGTCAGTCAACCACAGTCAGTGACCCACACAGTCAGTCAACCACACAGTCAGTCAACCACACAGTCAGTCAACCACACAGTCAGTCAACCGCACAGTCAGTCAACCGCACAGTGACCCACACAGCCAGTGGACCGCACAGTCAGCCAACCGCACAGTCAGTGACCCACACAGTCAGTCAACCGCACAGTCAGTCAACCACACAGTCAGTCAACCACACAGTCAGTCAACCACACAGTCAGTCAACCACACAGTCAGTCAACCACACAGTCAGTCAACCACACAGTCAGTCAACCACACAGCCAGTCAACCACACAGCCAGTCAACCGCACAGTCAGTCAACCACACAGTCAGTCAACCACACAGTCAGTCAACCACACAGTCAGTCAACCACACAGTCAGTCAACCACAGTCAGTGACCCACACAGTCAGTCAACCACACAGTCAGTCAACCACACAGTCAGTCAACCACACAGTCAACCGCACAGCCAGTGACCCACACAGTCAGTCAACCACACAGTCAACCGCACAGCCAGTGACCCACACAGTCAGTCAACCACACAGTCAGTCAACCACACAGTCAGTCAACCACACAGTCAGTCAACCACACAGTCAGTCAACCGCACAGTCAACCACACAGTCAGTGAACCACACAGTCAGTGAACCACACAGCCAGTCAACCACACAGCCAGTGTGGGGTCTCTGTGCGAGGGTCTCTCTCACCGTGTCCTTGCCGGGGCTACAGGGGAACTCCAGGAAGCCGTCGTCCCCCACGTCCACGGCGCTGGGGGCTTCACCGGCGTCACCGGCGGCGGCCGCCCCCTCCGCCGGTGACGCCGCCGCCGCGGCCGCGGAACTCCTCCGGCACTGGCCCCGGGCTGGTGCCGAGCGGGCAACCTGCTCCTCATCATCACCCTCCTCCTCCTCCTCAGCGTGGTTGTCCTCCGGCACCGGCTGGACCTACGGCACCACCGTCAACAAAATCTTTAAAACCGCCAGCACCACCGGCCGCAACCACAAAATTACCACGGCCACCGCCATCACTACGACCACCGCCATCACCATCGACATCACGAAAACCACCAGGCACAACCACCGTCACCACAACCACCATCATTGCGACCACCATCACCACGACCACCATCACCACGACCACCATCACCACGACCACCGTCACCACAACCATCATCACCATCGACATCACGAAAACCACCAGGCACGACCACCGTCACCACGACCACAGTCACCACGACCACGACCACCGCCATCACCACCGACATCACGAAAACCACAAGCCACAACCACCATCATTGCGACCACCATCACCACGACCACCGCCATCACCACCGACATTAGGAAAACCACCAGCCACAACCACCATCACCACCATCACCACTACAATCACCACGCTCATCACCATCACCACCACGACCACGGGATCATCAACATCATCTCCATCAACATCACTAAAACCACCATCACCATCAATACCACCATCACCACCACCACAACCACCACCATCACCGCCACCACCGCCACGATCATTATCAACACCATTACCTTTAGCGCCATCACCACCACCATCACCACTACAATCACCACGCTCATCACCATCACCACCACGACCACGGGATCATCGACATCATCTCCATCAACATCACTAAAATCACCATCACCATCAACACCACCATCACTTACACCGCTACCACCACCACCACCGCCACGATCATTATCAACACCATTACCTTTAGCGCCATCACCACCACCATCACCACGTTCATCACCATCACCACCACGACCACGGGATCATCAACATCATCTCCATCAACAGCACTAAAACCACCATCACCATCAATACCACCATCACTTACAACGCTACCACCACCACCACCATCACCACGCTCATCACCATCACCACCACGACCACGGGATCATCAACATCATCTCCATCAACATCACTAAAATCACCATCAACACCACCATCACTTACACCGCTACCACCACCGCCACGATCATTATCAACACCATTACCTTTAGCGCCATCACCACCACCATCACCACCACCACCATCACCACGCTCATCACCATCACCACCACGACCACGGGATCATCAACATCATCTCCATCAACATCACTAAAACCACCATCACCATCAATACCACCATCACTTACACCGCTACCACCACCACCACCATCACCACGCTCATCACCATCACCACCACGACCACGGGATCATCAACATCATCTCCATCAACATCACTAAAACCACCATCACCACAACCATCACCACAACCACCACCACAACCACCACCACAACCACCACCACCGCCACGATCATTATCAACACCATTACCTTTAGCGCCATCACCACCACCATCACCACGTTCATCACCATCACCACCACGACCACGGGATCATCAACATCACCACCATCACCACCACAAGCACCACCATCACCACGCTCATCACCATCACCACCACGACCACGGGATCATCAACATCATCACCATCACCACCACCACCACCACAACCACCAGGGTAAGAGAGGGACAGGGGGAGCAGAGTGTAGCAACGGGAGGAGGAGGAGGAGGCAGGCGACGGACCATCAGCGCTGGGGCTGACGTGTGTCTCCGTGCGTCCCGCTGACCGTGGCCCAGGTGGTTCAGCCGCAGGGGCGGTAGAGGCTTCTTGAAGTAGAACTGAACAGCGGGAGGGGGCGGTGTTACAGGGGCTGTTGGGGCGGCACTGCACCAGGAGCGGTGTTCCACTGTGGCGGTGGTGGCGCCGATGACGGTGGTGGCGATGACGGCGGTGATGATGATGGTGGTAGTGGTGGTGGTGGTGATGATGCTGATGATGGTGGTAGTGGTGGCGGTGGCGCCGATGACAGTGGTGATGATGGTGGTAGTGGTGGTGGTAGTGGTGGTGGCGATGACGGCGGTGATGATGGTGGTAGTGGTGGTGGCAATGACGGTGGTGATGATGGTGGTGGTGGTAGTGGTGGTGGCAATGACGGTGGTGATGATGGTGGTAGTGGTGGTGATGGCGGTGGTGGTGACAATGACAGTGGTGATGATGGTGGTAGTGGTGGTGGTGGCAGTGGTGGCGATGACGGCGGTGATGATGGTGGTAGTGGTGGTGGTAGCGGTGGTGGCAATGACGGTGGTGATGATGGTGGTAGTGGTGGTGGCAATGACGGTGGTGATGACGGTGGTAGTGGTGATGACGGCGGTGATGATGGTGGTAGTGGTGGTGGTAGCGGTGGTGGCGATGACGGCGGTGATGATGGTGGTAGTGGTGGTGATGGCGGTGGTTACGATGACGGTGGTGATTACGGTCGTAGTGGTGGTGGTGATGATGGTCATAGTGGCAGTGGTGGTGATGATGATGATGGCAATGATGATGGTGGTCATGGCGGTGATGACGGCGAAGATGATGATTGTGGAAGTGGCGATGATTGATGACGATGACGGTCGTGTCGATGTCGGTGGTGATGGTGGCTGTTACGAGTGAGAGTGGGTGGGTGAGTGAGTGGGTGGGTGAGTGGGTGAGTGGGTGGGTGAGATGGTGGGTGAGTGAGTGGATGGGTGAGTGGGTGGGTGAGTGGGTGGGTGAGTGGGTGGGTGAGTGGGTGGGTGAGTGGGTGAGTGAGTGGGTGAGTGGGTGGGTGAGTGGGTGGGTGAGTGGGTGGGTGGGTGAGTGGGTGGATGGGTCGATGAGTGGGTGGGTGAGTGGGTGGGTGAGTGGGTGGATGGGTCGATGAGTGGGTGGGTGAGTGGGTGGATGGGTCGATGAGTGGGTGGGTGAGTAGGTGGGTAGGTGTGTGAGTGGGTGAGTGGGTGGGTGGGTGAGTGGGTGGGTAGGTGAGTGGGTGGGTGAGTTGGTGTGTGAGTGGGTGGGTGAGTGGGTGGGTGAGTTGGTGTGTGAGTGGGTGAGTGAGTGGGTGGGCGAGTGGCTGGGTGGATGGGTGTGTGAGTGGGTGGGTGGGTGAGTGGGTGAGTGGGTGAGTGGGTGGGTGAGTTGGTGTGTGAGTGGGTGGGTGAGTGGGTGGGTGAGTGGGTGGGTGAGTTGGTGTGTGAGTGAGTGAGTGAGTGGGTGGGTGGGTGGGTGAGTGAGTGAGTGGGTGGGTGGGTGAGTGAGTGAGTGAGTGGGTGGGTGGGTGGGTGCGTGAGTGGGTGGGTGAGTTGGTGTGTGGGTGGGTGTGTGGGTGAGTGAGTGGGTGAGTGAGTGGGTGAGTGAGTGAGTGGGTGTGTGGGTGAGTGAGTGGGTGGGTGGGTGAGTGAGTGAGTGGGTGGGTGGGTGGGTGAGTGAGTGAGTGGGTGGGTGGGTGAGTGCGTGAGTGGGTGGGTGAGTGGGTGTGTGAGTGGGTGGGTGAGTGGGTGGGTGAGTTGGTGTGTGAGTTGGTGTGTGAGTTGGTGTGTGAGTTGGTGTGTGAGTGGGTGGGTGAGTGTGTGAGTGGGTGGGTGAGTGAGTTGGTGTGTGGGTGGGTGAGTGGGTGGGTGAGTGGGTGAGTGAGTGGGTGAGTGGGTGGGTGAGTAGGTGGGTGAGTAGGTGGGTGAGTGGGTGAGTGGGTGGGTGAGTGAGTGGGTGTGTGAGTGGGTGGGTGAGTGGGTGGGTGAGTGGGTGTGTGAGTGGGTGGGTGAGTTGGTGTGTGAGTGGGTGTGTGAGTAGGTGGGTGGGTGGGTGAGTGGGTGTGTGGGTGGGTGGGTGAGTGGGTGGGTGGGTGAGTGGGTGTGTGAGTTGGTGTGAGTGAGTGGGTGTGTGAGTTGGTGTGTGGGTGGGTGTGTGGGTGGGTGAGTGGGTGGGTGTGTGAGTGGGTGGGTGAGTGGGTGGGTGAGTGGGTGTGTGAGTGGGTGGGTGAGTTGGTGTGTGAGTGGGTGTGTGAGTAGGTGGGTGGGTGAGTGGGTGTGTGGGTGGGTGGGTGAGTGAGTGGGTGGGTGGGTGAGTGGGTGTGTGAGTTGGTGTGAGTGAGTGGGTGTGTGAGTTGGTGTGTGGGTGGGTGTGTGGGTGGGTGAGTGGGTGTGTGAGTTGGTGTGTGAGTGAGTGGGTGGGTGAGTGGGTGTGCGAGTTGGTGTGTGAGTGGGTGAGTGTGTGAATGGGTGGGTGAGTTGGTGAGTGAGTTGGTGTGTGAGTGGGTGTGTGAGTGAGTGTGTGAGTAGGTGGGTGGGTGAGTGGGTGAGTGAGTGTGTGAGTGGGTGGGTGAGTGAGTGGGTGGGTGGGTGAGTGGGTGGGTGTGTGGGTGAGTGGGTGGGTGGGTGTGTGGGTGGGTGAGTGAGTCGGTGGGTGTGTGGGTGGGTGTGTGGGTGGGTGAGTTGGTGTGTGAGTGGGTGAGTGACTGAGTGTGTGAATGGGTGGGTGAGTGGGTGTGTGAGTGAGTGGGTGGGTGAATGAGTGGGTGGGTGAGTTGGTGTGTGAGTAGGTGGGTGAGTTGGTGTGTGAGTAGGTGGGTGGGTGAGTGGGTGAGTGAGTGTGTGAGTGGGTGGGTGAGTGAGTGAGTGGGTGGGTAGGTGGGTGGGTGGGTGAGTGTGTGGGTGAGTGGGTGAGTGGGTGAGTGTGTGGGTGGGTGAGTGGGTGGGTGAGTGGGTGAGTGAGTGGGTGGGTGAGTAGGTGGGTGAGTGGGTGGGTGTGTGAGTGGGTGAGTGGGTAGGTGAGTGGATGAGTGGGTGAGTGAGTGGGTGGGTGTGTGAATGGGTGGGTGGGTGAGTGGGTGAGTGAGTGAGTGTGTGAGTGAGTGAGTGGGTGGGTGGGTGGGTGAGTGGGTGGGTGAGTGGATGGGTGAGTTGGTGTGTGAGTGGGTGGGTGGGTGAGTGGGTGGGTGAGTTGGTGTGTGAGTGGGTGGGTGGGTGAGTGGGTGGGTGAGTGGGTGAGTGGGTAGGTGAGTGGATGAGTGGGTGAGTGAGTGGGTGGGTGTGTGAATGGGTGGGTGGGTGAGTGGGTGGGTGAGTGAGTGAGTGGGTGGGTGGGTGAGTGGGTGGGTGAGTGGGTGGGTGAGTTGGTGTGTGAGTTGGTGGGTGGGTGAGTGGGTGGGTGGGTGAGTAGGTGGGTGGGTGTGTGAGTTGGTGTGTGGGTGGGTGTGCGAGTGGGTGGGTGAGTGGGTGGGTGAGTGGGTGTGTGAGTGAGTGGATGAGTGAGTGAGTGGGTGGGTGGGTGAGTTGGTGGGTGGGTGTGTGAGTGGGTGGGTGGGTGGGTGAGTGGGTGAGTGGGTGGGTGAGTGGGTGGGTGAGTGAGTGAGTTGGTGGGTGTGTGAGTGAGTGGATGAGTGAGTGGGTGGGTGAGTGAGTGGGTGAGTGGGTGAGTTGGTGTGTGAGTGGGTGGGTGGGTGAGTTGGTGAGTGAGTTGGTGTGTGGGTGGGTGTGTGAGTGGGTGGGTGAGTGAGTAGGTGGGTGAGTGGGTGAGTGAGTGAGTGGGTGGGTGAGTGGGTGTGCGAGTTGGTGTGTGAGTGGGTGTGTGAGTGAGTTGGTGTGTGAGTTGGTGTGTGAGTGGGTGTGTGTGTGAATGGGTGGGTGGGTGAGTTGGTGTGTGAGTGGGTGTGTGAGTGAGTTGGTGCGTGAGTGGGTGGGTGAGTGGGTGTGTGGGTGTGTGAGTTGGTGTGTGAGTGGGTGTGTGAGTTGGTGTGTGAGTGAGTGGATGAGTGAGTGAGTGGGTGGGTGGGTGAGTTGGTGGGTGGGTGTGTGAGTGGGTGGGTGGGTGGGTGAGTGGGTGGGTGAGTGGGTGGGTGAGTGAGTGAGTTGGTGGGTGTGTGAGTGAGTGGATGAGTGAGTGGGTGGGTGAGTGAGTGGGTGAGTGGGTGAGTTGGTGTGTGAGTGGGTGGGTGGGTGAGTTGGTGAGTGAGTTGGTGTGTGGGTGGGTGTGTGAGTGGGTGGGTGAGTGAGTAGGTGGGTGAGTGGGTGAGTGAGTGAGTGGGTGGGTGAGTGGGTGTGCGAGTTGGTGTGTGAGTGGGTGTGTGAGTGAGTTGGTGTGTGAGTTGGTGTGTGAGTGGGTGTGTGTGTGAATGGGTGGGTGGGTGAGTTGGTGTGTGAGTGGGTGTGTGAGTGAGTTGGTGCGTGAGTTGGTGTGTGAGTGGGTGGGTGTGTGTGTGAATGGGTGGGTGTGTGAGTTGGTGTGCGAGTTGGTGTGCGAGTTGGTGTGTGAGTGGGTGGGTGTGTGAGTGAGTGGATGAGTGAGTGAGTTGGTGTGTGAGTGGGTGGGTGAGTGGGTGAGTTGGTGAGTGAGTTGGTGTGTGAGTGGGTGTGTGAGTTGGTGTGTGAGTGTGTGTGTGTGTGTCACGTCTCTCCGCCCACGTTTTCTTTGTCGTCGGCCGTGTCCCCCGAGGCCGGGGGGCAGCAGGAGCAGTAGGCGGAGGACGACAGCGAGGAGGAGGAGGGGGGAGGCGAGTCGTCGTCTGTTGCCGACGGTGGCGTTGACAGAAGCGGCTGTGGCCGGTTTGGGGGGCCCGCCAAGGCCGGGCTGTTCCCCAGCAGATGAATCTGGTGGCGGGGGTGGGAGAGCGGCAAGCACAAGGCCCCCAAGATTAACATAATTCATGCACGAGCCTGCATAATTTATTATAATGTATGCGGGTGCCATTCAACGTCTAAGTATCCTGCACTGGGTGTCTCTCTCTCTCTCTCAGGGGGTTCACAGTGGCCGTGTGGGAGACACTGAGACCCTGGGGTCAGGGTTCAAGTCCTGGGTCTGGGTGTCTCTCTCTCTCTCAGGGGGTTCACAGTGGCCGTGTGGGAGACACTGAGACCCTGGGGTCAGGGTTCAAGCCCTGGGTCTGGGTGTCTCTCTCTCTCTCTCAGGGGCTTCACGGTGGCCGTGTGGGAGACGCTGAGACCCTGGGGTCAGGGTTCAAGCCCTGGGTCTCTCTCTCAGGGGGTTCACAGTGGCCATGTGGGAGAAACGGAGACCCTGGTGTCAGGGTTCAAGCCCTGGGTCTGGGTGTCTCTCTCTCTCTCAGGCGGTTCACGGTGGCCGTGTGGGAGACGCTGAGACCCTGGGGTCAGGGTTCAAGCTCTGGGTCTGGGTGTCTCTCTCAGCGAGAAAGAGTGAGTGAGGTAGCGGATGAGTGTGTGTGTGTGTGTGTTTATATTGAGGGTAGTGAGGTAGTGATACTCACAGGGAGGGAGTGAACTCTCCTCATCGCAGACCTCCTATGGCGACAGAGGGGAAGGGGTGGAAGAGGGGGAGGAGGGAGAGGGGATGGACGGGGGATGAGGGACGACGCTCCACTCCCAAACTCTGTCCCACACGGTAACCTGTCCCACACAGTAACCTGTCCCACAGTAACCTGTCCCACACAGTAACCTGTCCCACAGTAACCTGTCCCACACGGTAACCTGTCCCACAGTAACCTGTCCCACACGGTAACCTGTCCCACACGGTAACCTCACCCACACGGTAACCTGTCCCACAGTAACCTGTCCCACACGGTAACCTGTCCCACACAGTAACCTGTCCCACAGTAACCTGTCCCACACAGTAACCTGTCCCACACAGTAACCTGTCCCACAGTAACCTGTCCCACACGGTAACCTGTCCCACACAGTAACCTGTCCCACAGTAACCTGTCCCACACGGTAACCTCACCCACACGGTAACCTGTCCCACACAGTAACCTGTCCCACAGTAACCTGTCCCACAGTAACCTGTCCCACACGGTAACCTGTCCCACACGGTAACCTGTCCCACACGGTAACCTGTCCCACAGTAACCTGTCCCACAGTAACCTGTCCCACACGGTAACCTCACCCACACGGTAACCTGTCCCACACAGTAACCTGTCCCACAGTAACCTGTCCCACACGGTAACCTGTCCCACAGTAACCTGTCCCACACGGTAACCTGTCCCACAGTAACCTGTCCCACACAGTAACCTGTCCCACAGTAACCTGTCCCACAGTAACCTGTCCCACAGTAACCTGTCCCACAGTAACCTGTCCCACACAGTAACCTGTCCCACAGTAACCTGTCCCACACGGTAACCTGTCCCACAGTAACCTGTCCCACAGTAACCTGTCCCACAGTAACCTGTCCCACAGTAACCTGTCCCACACAGTAACCTGTCCCACACAGTAACCTGTCCCACAGTAACCTGTCCCACACGGTAACCTGTCCCACACGGTAACCTGTCCCACAGTAACCTGTCCCACACGGTAACCTGTCCCACGGTAACCTGTCCCACACAGTAACCTGTCCCACGGTAACCTGTCCCACGGTTACCTGTCCCACAGTAACCTGTCCCACGGTAACCTGTCCCACGGTAACCTGTCCCACGGTTACCTGTCCCACAGTAACCTGTCCCACAGTAACCTGTCCCACAGTAACCTGTCCCACGGTTACCTGTCCCACAGTAACCTGTCCCACGGTAACCTGTCCCACGGTAACCTGTCCCACAGTAACCTGTCCCACACGGTAACCTGTCCCACACAGTAACCTGTCCCACAGTAACCTGTCCCACGGTAACCTGTCCCACAGTAACCTGTCCCACACGGTAACCTGTCCCACACGGTAACCTGTCCCACACAGTAACCTGTCCCACGGTTACCTGTCCCACAGTAACCTGTCCCACGGTAACCTGTCCCACGGTAACCTGTCCCACAGTAACCTGTCCCACGGTAACCTGTCCCACAGTAACCTGTCCCACAGTAACCTGTCCCACACGGTAACCTGTCCCACACAGTAACCTGTCCCACAGTAACCTGTCCCACACAGTAACCTGTCCCACACAGTAACCTGTCCCACACAGTAACCTGTCCCACACAGTAACCTGTCCCACACGGTAACCTGTCCCACACGGTAACCTGTCCCACACGGTAACCTGTCCCACAGTAACCTGTCCCACACGGTAACCTGTCCCACACGGTAACCTGTCCCACGGTAACCTGTCCCACAGTAACCTGTCCCACACGGTAACCTGTCCCACAGTAACCTGTCCCACACGGTAACCTGTCCCACACAGTAACCTGTCCCACAGTAACCTGTCCCACACAGTAACCTGTCCCACACAGTAACCTGTCCCACACAGTAACCTGTCCCACACGGTAACCCGTCCCACACAGTAACCTGTCCCACACAGTAACCTGTCCCACAGTAACCTGTCCCACAGTAACCTGTCCCACAGTAACCTGTCCCACACGGTAACCTGTCCCACACAGTAACCTGTCCCACACGGTAACCTGTCCCACAGTAACCTGTCCCACAGTAACCTGTCCCACACAGTAACCTGTCCCACACAGTAACCTGTCCCACACGGTAACCTGTCCCACACAGTAACCTGTCCCACAGTAACCTGTCCCACACGGTAACCTGTCCCACAGTAACCTGTCCCACAGTAACCTGTCCCACAGTAACCTGTCCCACACAGTAACCTGTCCCACAGTAACCTGTCCCACAGTAACCTGTCCCACACGGTAACCTCACCCACACGGTAACCTGTCCCACACGGTAACCTGTCCCACAGTAACCTGTCCCACACGGTAACCCGTCCCACACGGTAACCTGTCCCACACGGTAACCTGTCCCACACAGTAACCTGTCCCACAGTAACCTGTCCCACACGGTAACCTGTCCCACAGTAACCTGTCCCACAGTAACCTGTCCCACACAGTAACCTGTCCCACAGTAACCTGTCCCACAGTAACCTGTCCCACAGTAACCTGTCCCACACGGTAACCTGTCCCACACGGTAACCTGTCCCACACGGTAACCTGTCCCACACAGTAACCTGTCCCACAGTAACCTGTCCCACACGGTAACCTGTCCCACAGTAACCTGTCCCACACGGTAACCTGTCCCACACGGTAACCTGTCCCACAGTAACCTGTCCCACACGGTAACCTGTCCCACAGTAACCTGTCCCACACGGTAACCTGTCCCACAGTAACCTGTCCCACACAGTAACCTGTCCCACACGGTAACCTGTCCCACAGTAACCTGTCCCACACGGTAACCTGTCCCACAGTAACCTGTCCCACACGGTAACCTGTCCCACAGTAACCTGTCCCACAGTAACCTGTCCCACACAGTAACCTGTCCCACAGTAACCTGTCCCACACGGTAACCTGTCCCACAGTAACCTGTCCCACACAGTAACCTGTCCCACAAGGTAACCTGTCCCACAGTAACCTGTCCCACACAGTAACCTGTCCCACACAGTAACCTGTCCCACACGGTAACCTGTCCCACAGTAACCTGTCCCACAGTAACCTGTCCCACACGGTAACCTGTCCCACAGTAACCTGTCCCACACAGTAACCTGTCCCACAGTAACCTGTCCCACAGTAACCTGTCCCACACGGTAACCTGTCCCACAGTAACCTGTCCCACACGGTAACCTGTCCCACACGGTAACCTGTCCCACACGGTAACCTGTCCCACACGGTAACCTGTCCCACAGTAACCTGTCCCACACGGTAACCTGTCCCACACAGTAACCTGTCCCACACGGTAACCTGTCCCACAGTAACCTGTCCCACACGGTAACCTGTCCCACAGTAACCTGTCCCACAGTAACCTGTCCCACAGTAACCTGTCCCACAGTAACCTGTCCCACAGTAACCTGTCCCACGGTAACCTGTCCCACAGTAACCTGTCCCACACAGTAACCTGTCCCACATGGTAACCTGTCCCACAGTAACCTGTCCCACACGGTAACCTGTCCCACACAGTAACCTGTCCCACAGTAACCTGTCCCACACAGTAACCTGTCCCACACGGTAACCTGTCCCACACAGTAACCTGTCCCACACGGAAACCTGTCCCACATGGTAACCTGTCCCACACGGTAACCTGTCCCACATGGTAACCTGTCCCACAGTAACCTGTCCCACACAGTAACCTGTCCCACAGTAACCTGTCCCACAGTAACCCGTCCCACAGTAACCTGTCCCACATGGTAACCTGTCCCACACAGTAACCTGTCCCACAGTAACCTGTCCCACACAGTAACCTGTCCCACACGGTAACCTGTCCCACAGTAACCTGTCCCACACAGTAACCTGTCCCACACGGTAACCTGTCCCACACAGTAACCTGTCCCACAGTAACCTGTCCCACACAATAACCTGTCCCACACAGTAACCTGTCCCACACAGTAACCTGTCCCACAGTAACCTGTCCCACACGGTAACCTGTCCCACAGTAACCTCACCCACATGGTAACCTGTCCCACAGTAACCTGTCCCACAGTAACCTGTCCCACAGTAACCTGTCCCACAGTAACCTGTCCCACACGGTAACCTGTCCCACAGTAACCTGTCCCACAGTAACCTGTCCCACACAGTAACCTGTCCCACACGGTAACCTGTCCCACACGGTAACCTGTCCCACAGTAACCTGTCCCACACGGTAACCTGTCCCACACAGTAACCTGTCCCACACGGTAACCTGTCCCACACGGTAACCTGTCCCACAGTAACCTGTCCCACAGTAACCCGTCCCACACGGTAACCTGTCCCACACAGTAACCTGTCCCACAGTAACCTGTCCCACAGTAACCCGTCCCACACGGTAACCTGTCCCACAGTAACCTGTCCCACACAGTAACCTGTCCCACAGTAACCTGTCCCACACAGTAACCTGTCCCACAGTAACCTGTCCCACAGTAACCTGTCCCACACAGTAACCTGTCCCACAGTAACCTGTCCCACAGTAACCTGTCCCACACAGTAACCTGTCCCACAGTAACCTGTCCCACAGTAACCTGTCCCACACAGTAACCTGTCCCACAGTAACCTGTCCCACACAGTAACCTGTCCCACACGGTAACCTGTCCCACAGTAACCTGTCCCACAGTAACCTGTCCCACACAGTAACCTGTCCCACAGTAACCTGTCCCACAGTAACCTGTCCCACACAGTAACCTGTCCCACAGTAACCTGTCCCACACGGTAACCTGTCCCACACGGTAACCTGTCCCACAGTAACCTGTCCCACACGGTAACCTGTCCCACAGTAACCTGTCCCACACGGTAACCTGTCCCACACGGTAACCTGTCCCACAGTAACCTGTCCCACAGTAACCTGTCCCACAGTAACCTGTCCCACAGTAACCTGTCCCACACGGTAACCTGTCCCACGGTAACCTGTCCCACACAGTAACCTGTCCCACACGGTAACCTGTCCCACAGTAACCTGTCCCACACGGTAACCTGTCCCACACGGTAACCTGTCCCACGGTAACCTGTCCCACACGGTAACCGGTCCCACACGGTAACCTCACCCACACGGTAACCTGTCCCACACGGTAACCCGTCCCACACGGTAACCTCACCCACACGGTGTCCCGGCACGCACGCCAGGCCACGGTGATCTTGCGGCCCTTTGGCTAACCATCAAGGACGGTGGTCACCGGGCACCGTCGCCCGGCCCTTCCGGATGCCCTTCCGCGGCCGTCTGGAACGCGCTTCCATTCCGATGATTTCGTAATCCGCCGGGGGCGCGCGCTCTCTCAAATCATCACCGAGGTTGACAGAGACACTTGTTGAGAGTTGCCGCTGCTTCCCGTTGTTGTTGTTGTTTTTAGTTTTCTCGTCCTATAGCACCCCTCCCCACGCCTCAGGATTAGCACGCACAGCCATACCCGATTGGAGAGAGAGAGAGAGAGAAGACGATAAAT